ACGTTTATTTGGCAAAACAATAAACCGAAAGATATTTCCATGTCCTTAGTTTCAATTTTCCCGCCACGATGCGGGTTGCTTGAAAATATCAAAAGGATGACTGGCACGGGTATATATAAAATGTTTACATGCATGATGTGTTATATAGACTAATATAATAAATCAATTATCTGCCTCTAGAGGTCAGTCTGCTGTCAATATGGTCAGTTTTGAAACAAGTCAGGTGGTCAGCGGTCAGTTCATCCAACTAAGTGATCAACAGAAAAAATAGTTTCGAATGCTTCATTGCTTCCGTATTAAAAAATCTACTAACCATTATGACCCTTGACATGGTCCTTTTTATGGGTATTAAGATAATTTTACTGACTGACCACTGGTCCTTTAAGTCCTAGCACGTGCAGTCTAATTTATTAATTATATATATATATATGATAACTTTGACAGCTCAAAAAATGAAATGTTTTTTAACGTCCTACGTTTGGAAACACTAGGTGGGATTATTAAGGCATAAGTCCCAGGCACTTTAACATATATCCGAACGACTTGTGCCATTTACAAGGGAAAATGAAATGAAATGGGGTTTTACGTCCTACTGTTCTGCTTTGATCGGGCTGATGAAGACGGGCATCCGCTATGAGGGAAATTTTGCCCGGACAAAAGGGATCTTTTACGTGCACGCCAATCTGTATACGGGACCTCGGTTTTTCGTCCCATCCAAACGACTAGACAGCTGTCCTTGCGAGGCCCCCCGTCATGCACCACTGACAGGGGGAAACCACGCCGGAAAATCCCTATGAATTTTATCTGCCAACACCGGGATCGAACCATCGACCTCCAGGCTAGTGAACCAGCGTCATACTCACTTAGCCACCGTGGCTCCCCCATTTACAAGTTCAAAGAGCCCGAGGACGTTTCTCGGCCAACGTTGTCTCCAAGACCGAAAGGGAATTAAAAATACAAAGAGCGGTTTCAACTTCCGTAAGTATCCGATGCATATGTCAGAAAATCCCTCTTGTTTATGTATTCAAGTTCTTGAAGACTGTGAACATTTATTTTTTTATACCGCCCGCTTTACAATTCATAGCGGAAAATGATTATACAAAAACTAGATTTCGAAGATAAAAATATACAAACCAATGCCTTCGGGAAAAACACAAATATTTCTTTTGAGGACAATTATTTCATCATTGAAATCGTACATCACTATATCAAACTAACAAGCTTTTAAACTCCTTATATTACTACCAAAACGACACCACGTTATTATAACATTTTATATATATATATTATATTACGCATTGTGGCATTGGCAGGGACATCGTCTTAAGAATATCTACTGTAATAACCTATCTGTATGTGATTTGTATATTCTTTTCAAGGAATCTTACCTTTCGCAGCCTCTAATCTATGAATATATCCTGTCGTCAAACACTTCAGTGATCAATGTCTATGGAAGCGATTTTACATAAGCAGCAATGCTTTCATATAGTATGTAAAGTAAATATAGCACTGACTCATTAAACTTGCATTATGTAAGATTAGATAAAGAGCTGACAATGCACGCTATAGTAGTTAAATATATATATAATAAAAAGGGAATATGTTGAAAATTTCAGCCAAATTACTTCATTCTGAGCGGAGTTTTGGCCGTTTGAAGAACAATGAAGTCTCGGTTGTCATTGCTACCGTTGTTACGACAATAAACAAAGTCTCGATTATCCATATTTTAATTATATTATCAACGTGCAATCAGGTTTAAATCCCTTGAAAATCAAACCCATCCGATGGTCTAGAGAGTTGATTACAGACTTGGCATGTGAATAAATGTCTAATGAAGGATTAATATATATCATTTGAGGTCAAGCGGAAGATCTGCATTAGGCAGATTTAGCTGTTAAATAATACATTGTTTAATTCAAAAATAACCAGTTACCTAAAAGTCGCTGAGCGTTATTTTTAATTTTTCACAGCTGGGTCCAATCTCCAATGTATACTAAAACTGATTATGTTAAGAAAGCGAAATAAAATATCAACGTTTTTTATTCTCCCAACTTAGATTTAGTCGGGTTAAAGTTACAATTTCATATTTTCTAAGAAAGTCAAAAACTAATTATTTTTATGTCTTTTGCTCAATAGGTTGTCAACTCACTATTATACGATCTTTCTCACACTTAAAAATCTTCACACCGGAAATAATAACACAATTACCTCCGAGAAACCTACCTTGTTTTCTATTCCCCAACATGGAATAGCTATCTTCAAACGTTTGAATTTGAAGTTGAAAATGATATTTTTGCCAATTTCTCAACTGGCAATAGTGAATTATAGGATTAATAGGATTATTCTTTAACAAGGTAGGACTGTTTATAGATACCATCTAATTTAGGGCTTTATTTTAATACATTTTAAAAATATAACTTAAAAATATGAAATTGTAACTTTAAAATGAGGTCCATCAAAGATTTTTGCGAATATTGTAGGTGGTGCTGGCTTGCATGGATGTCAAATGTTGAAATATATTCAATTCGTCATATCTTTGTAAATACTAAAAGGATTTGAATCATTTTCGTTTAGAGGGTGACTTTTCACAATAATGTAGTTTACAAGTGATTAAACATCCACCAAATGACGATCAGTGACAGTTTAGGGCAGACAGACAAACTTTTTTATTACACACTTACGCAATAGTAACAATAGTCTAGCGCAAGTAGAAGTTGGCTCGATGAATAAAGGAGCTGGCTCGGTGAATAAAAGCGCCGGCTCGCTAACCAGGGGCCTATTTCACGAAATTTTAACTAAGATAAAATCCAGATTTTGGTAATTTGATTGGATAATATTAGATTGATTTTAGTGCTTAGCCAATCAAAATTGAAGTATCTACTAAAATTTGGATTTTATCTTTGGTTAAGATTTCGAGAAACAGGGCCCAGGTCTTGGAATTTTCCGGTGTGGTTTCCCTTTTCAGTGGCGCAAGACGGAGGGCCTGGCTAGGACCAGCGTCTAGTAGCTCGGATGGGACGAAAACCCGATGCCCCGTGTACTTCTTGGCATGCAAGTAAAAGAACCGTTGACAGTTGGAATTCGCAATAGGAGTATGCGTAAATAAAAAACCAGAAGACAAATCAACCGACAAGACTCGAAACACATTTGCTGTAATATTGGAAAAATATGTTTAGACTTTTATAAATGCATTTTGTTCATCCTTGACAATCTTTTCGGAAACCATTTCCTGAAATTGAAAGTAAATAAGTAAATAAACAATAACAATTACGAACCGTAATTAAATTTCAAATCTCTGGCATGCTTTAAAGCCAAACTTTCAAGGAGTCAAGTCGCTAAGTCCACAGTATTCGACATTGCAAACACGACTTATTGGTTAATTTAAATCATCATTGATGTTGTTATTGTATCGTGAAAAGATGGCCTTCTGATATCCAATATTTGACACAAAATGAGTATTTAAAAAGTGGCACAAGATTCGGCTGCCATTTGTAATGAAGCGACTCGATGAACGAGGCTAAACATACCCCACGGGGGAATACTACCGGTGTAGACTGTAATAACCAGACGCCAAAGGTTGCCATTCAATTGAGACTCTTCGCGCATTTCGCCTAACATAACTGATTCGAAATTAAAAACAGAAACGATTGAATGTAAATCAGTTTATATACATTCATGATACATTATTATATGCGTTGGCACCCATATATGTCCATCTCTAGGTGCCAAAGAAAAGTGATTTAGTTTCTTTAAGCTGTCATATTTTAAATAAAAAGTGTAGTACGAAACAAAGAGGCGGTAAAATAAGAATATACACGCTTACAAAGTCTCACTATTTATTTATTTTGATTCAGACGATGAGTTGTTCCGGTAATGCACTTAATGTTATAACTATTATATATTTATTAAAAGGGGAAACATTACAAACTTATAAGTGTTTTATTGTTCCGGAACGCATCTCGTTTATAATAATAGAATATAGAAATTCATCAACCTTTTCTTACACACGTGTCTAAAGTCATTCAAGAATAATGAGAAACGTGTTATATTATTTTCTCTTAAAATATTGAAATAAACGCGTTTTTTGGTTATTTATTAATTGGTCTGAACATTATTTGTGTTACAAGAAAACTGGGTACACTGGTATCCAATACACTTCCGTGTGTTAAACAAACGACAAACACGTGCATCCACGTGTCAGTATCGTTTTACGTTAACGTGCACGTTGATGGTTGAGTCTTTTTAATTGACTGACATCAACATCGACGTTCTTCGAGGGGAATCTATGATGCACCTGTGTGTTTAGTTCTCGACTGAAAATGGGCTTCAAAACCAATCTAGCTCGTCAGTGAAATCAGTGACAATTTAATTAAGGTACCAATTCCGCGAAATGATCCAACCTGATTAAGTGATTAACAACGTGTATACCTTAGAGATTTGAACATATGTGCCCGATCTGTTCTTATTCCTTACTAGCCAACCGTCTTCGTAACCTGAGTAGTAATTATCTCACCTTACTCTCTATACAATCATCAATCAAACCCAATAAAAATTTACCTGAGCTCGTCAAATAATTACATACATATACAAGTATATTACACCTATTGTGTTATACTTAGCTCATCAAATAACTTTTTTATGTTTTGTTTATATGAAAGACTAACAAAGGGATACTATGCAATAATGAAAGTAATTGTTGATTTTGGCTCGACATTGTTTGGACAAGGTAAACTTGTTAGTGATGGCCGCTTTCTACATCAATGATCAGCAAAACTCAGGTAGACGCATCGAAAACGAGGCTGGGGGCTTCCCATCAATGGAACGTGTGTACATTGTAATAAGGCCTAGCGTCTATAATGTCATATGGCCAAGTCTTCGCCAATCAGCGATTCGTTAAATTATAATAATATTAATGCACCTTAAAATCTTGCCTATACTCGTTCACTCATTATTTACGAAGCTAGCTTTAGTGTAAGCGAGGGGGAACTCGATAAATAGATTGAATAAGTCACATCCGTTCGAATTTATCTATATACCCCTTACTGGGAAAACACTAATCATTTATACCCGAACTATGTCTTCATACGGTTTATACCACCCTCATCAAATGCCGCACCAGGTAAGACTATTACATATATTTATTATTTATCATTATTTCATATTTTATTTATTTTAACATCCTTACTACAACAGGTTTTTCTTTCATTTTTAATCAAGACAGCCTACTTCATTGTTTATGTATGGAACTATATAAAACTTTTATAAAACTCAGTCACAGACGACAACAAAAAGATGAACCGGTGGAATTGTACTTGAGTCAATAGAAACGCGTTGAATTATTTGTATATACTTTGTTACGGACATAGTTGTTTGTTATGAATTAATAATTTTTCTGACAATTATTGCTGCTTATTTATAAGCGAGTCTTATTCACTTTCAGGGATAATTTTAAAGCGAGATTATGGGTTTTTTTTAATGTGCGTCAAAATACATTTTATATATAGAAATAAAACCGGATTTAATATATTATTATATCTTTTGCAATCAATTAAGTGGATATACTAGGAAGTTAGTTATTTTAGAGCTCAAGGTGATTTGGTAAGAACATTGTGTATCTATAATATATTTTTTTTTTATGATAAAGAAGCAATACTACTTACAATTTATTTTGTGAGTAATACGACTTACATTTTATTGTGTAAGTAATACGACTTACATTTTAGTTATTCACATTTATGCATAATTTCATTTTTGAAATCGCAATTTTTACTCCCGTAAACAGGATAATGTGTCATATTTTGTCAACTAAAAAAGTTAAAGTTCTTTAATTAAGAGAATAAATGACGGCGATTGCGATATGTGCCATAAATAATCTTCAATTCTTTATGTTTGGCACTTTTTTTAACAACAAAATTTTAAAAATAATCTAATATGCATTGTTTAATTTACGTTAAAAGAATATTATTATATAAACTTTAGACTATTTTTAACTTTGTTGATTATAGTCATGTTATGAAGATAAACTTGTCTTCGATATGACATTTTCCGTGCAATGTTTGAAAGGTAATGAAATAGTGTTGGAATTGGTTTTGTTGACTTACATCTAAATACGAATATGTTTTACACAACTTCACGCTTCTGTCGTTTAAATTCAAATGCATTTTATCTAAATTATCCCGGTTGGTACAGAAAAGTAAGATTTTAAAATCTCTTCCACTTCATTTCAAACTTACTTTCTCAATCATTAATTTTTACACAAAAAAAAAGAAATCAAATATTGTGATGGAAAATGGCGCGATGACATTTGACAATTTATCGAAATTATCTTTTTTTTTTTCATTAAATCTATACAGGGCGAGGATATGAAACTGGTCTGTTTTTTCGGGTCTTGAAGTTAACAATAACAATACAGAAATTGTAGTTTATTCTATGGTGTAAACAATATCATGGATAGAATGAATTACTACCATTTTATAAATATGGCATCATTTTAAAATAGTCGTACAATTTACTGGTGACTATAAAAGCATTAGTGATTTTCATTCGAAATTATAATTATTAAAATTATAATTATATCCACTATCCAAACAGAGGTTTATTTTCTTGCCTTTTTTTTAAATCAATGATCTTTTAAAATTGATTACTTTTTGTTATAAATTTCACGAAATCTTTCATACCATTTTTTAATATATTTCTTTTTAACGTAATGTGAACAATTTCGTCTCAAAATATGTCGCGTTTTATAATGAATATTATAAATCACTTTTTACTAATCGGATTTATTATTGTAATGGGTTTTTTTTAAAGTTTTTGTATGCATTATTATTTTCTAGAATATTTTCTTTGCGTCCTAAATGAATGGTAGCTTTTGATCTTTTTTCTTTGAGAATTCTACGCAACAACGGTATCTACACCACAAAATCTGTATGTGTATAACCTGTGAAATAGGCTGTGTAGAATCAATGCTGTATATTCTATACTAGATAAGAATCTACAGATATATATCAATGAACATTTATTATTTTCAAATAACCTTTGAGCGGGTTTTCAAATCTTAAATCTCTGTGTCACCACGCTAATTTTTCGCGTCATGTGGTATATACATAGATTCTGTTTTTTGCTGCTATTTTTTTTTCTAAGGAAAGACATAATTGGGACTGAATGTTTTATGAGTGAATTAATGTTCTGACACTTAAAGAAGTTCATAAAAATACAAACAGTTAATATTTAATAATATCGATTCATTGAACCCTGTCCACGTCTGTTTATTTACCCCTTTTTCACACTTTTCTGCACATCTGGTAAAGGCAGTCAAAAATGGCCACCTCACGTGACAGTACGGTTCTGAATAAAACGGCACGCGCCAGTCGCGAGGGTAGGGGTAAATCAGCAATGATGCGTGATTAGTTAAAATTTACACGGGGTTATAAAAAGTACACAAAAGGGTGACAATTGATGCGATGGGGGAAAGGCCAGCTGTTATATGGAGGAATTCGGGTTAGAATTCTGATACAATTTCTCCCCGACGCCTTTTGTGGCACAATACAATAATATCTATAATCATAGACGGCCATTGATAATACAGTTCAGGGCAATACAAATGATTCTATTATCCATAATCCTAAATTTACAAAATTCTGCATTACACCCCTTGAGCAAGAACAAAAACGAAATGAAAGTATACTTCTGAAGCTGTTGAAAGAAAGCCACTTGTAACTAATCCGAAACTAAGCAGCTTATAAACATGCGATACAAAGAAAAACATCGAAGAAGAAGGTATTAATATGTTAGCGCCTACCACAGGTGATTTTCGGAGGTACCTAAACTTCCAAGATTAGAAAAGATGAACACAATACATCTTGTACAAAAACAAAGTAAGACATGTGTTTTTCGTGTCTGTGTTTTTCTAAACAATATAATCGGTCAGTAATTATTAATTAATCACTTCCAACCAGTCGTGTTGATTTCTGTACAGATGTTTTCCGCGAACGTCGTACACCTTTAGAAATTCGCCATTTTTTTAAAAGCATAAATAATGGCAATATGATATCAAATTTCAAACAATGAATATCTTTTTATTTTCTGAGATCAAATTGAAACTGTGTGTTTTTGTATAAAAATAGATCAAAAAATTTTAAGATTGAATTACCGCACCCAAATAAAATACAAAAGTATTTAAATCAAATTTTAAAGAGTCCCATATCAGATCTACAGAAATGATTTACATTCTTATTTGAATAATATTAAAATCTTTAATAAACTGTTTAACTGGTAATCAAAACAGTTTAAGATTTTCTGAATATATTTTTGTTTAATACAATGAGACTAGACATGACGAGAAACTATAAAAGGTCTTACTCGACAGACAAACCACGGAAGCAAATAATATTAAAATCTGTAATAAACTAGTTAACTGATAATCATAGCATTTTAGGATTTTCTAAATATTTTGATATGACATTAGCGAAAACTAGACTAAATTAGACTAGAAACTAAAAAGCTTTTTACTCGACAGACAAAACACGGAAGCAAAATCTCTGCATATAAATTTAGATGGAACTTGTTGATTTTCACAATCTTGATTTATCCAACATGTTCCTGGAGTTAAAATAAAGCCTACATATCGGTAATACAAAGAGACTGTTTTTAATTGCCGTGTTTTTATTTTTATAATGCTATCAAGTGTTCGCCTGTCATATGACTCTATACCCTTTTTGTGCAACACAGCACCATGATTTAATATTTTGCGGTAACGAAAACGAAGAGCCATTTATTTATCTCTACGTCGGTCTTTCTAATTATTATTTATGAAGCTCGGTGGTTAAACATGCGGTTAATACAGTCTTAAAACAAAAAACAACGGGGGAGAAGGCAGGGATATTTATTACACGTTCGTCTATTGTGTTTTTTATGGGTTCGCTTTTTGAAATAAAATTGTTGCCACCTTTTGATTAAAGACAAAATAAATCATAAAGAGCTCGGGTGAAACGTAAAAAAAAAAGGAAATTTACAGCTAGGAGTTGAGAGGGGAGACAATTACCATGAATGAATCTGATTTAATGATAAGAATTGAGTTTAACCTTGACGGTAATACAAAGTGTAAATGAATATGGATATGGTTAATTAACAACATCTTTTATTATAACCATATGGAAAACGTTGTTATAAAATTGGTCATATATTTTTAGTAGGATAAACGGATGTAATGACGTAATACGGAAAAAGTTACTTAGGCCTATTACGTTTACCGACGAATAAAATTTACAGTGATAACTAAGTACCTCGCTTTTTTGCAAAGTTGGAACTGTGGTCTCATTATGTAGAAGAGGGGTAAAAGGTAAATTGGATCCAAGTTCAGTCTTCTAAAAAGGATTAGGGTTAGGGTTAGGCTTAGTATTCCCCAAAATATTTATTTATATAAAGCAGGGGTAATGAGTTTATTACCTTATACTAGATTGGGGGGCGAGGGGGTGGCCGGATGGTTAGGTCTTAAGGTCTGTCATTGAGTCAACTGGCGTGGTTTCGATTTCCCGGTTGTACGTGACAAGGAGTAGGGTCGCCTGTCCAACCTCGTGGGTTTTCTCCGGGTCCTCTGGATTCCTCCCACTGTTAAAGACCCCTACGCGCAAGCGAATTATTGAAATAATATTGAACGATGTGTTAGTCCCGAAATGACCTAGTTTGTGTCGAGTGAACGTTAAACCCAATCTCTCTCTCTCGATCTCTCGATCTCCGGAAATTCCCCAACCTCCCCAACCAGCCCACAATTATCATCTCCCAATGGAGTTAGAGGCGTCGGCTTACTATCTAAATACGTGGTTGTGGGAAGCGTCGGTAGCTCACTAACCACAAGTTTTGGGATTTTCAACATGGTTTTAGGACGGAAGGGCTGGCAAGGAACAGTGTCTAGTAGTTCAGGTTGAAAGAAAACCCAAGGTCCAGTGTACACCTTTGACAATTGGGATTTGACGAATGCTCATCTTCATTAATCCCACGTGATATCTTTGTTGTCCAATAAAATATGGGTTGGCGCTTCAAGTTTTAAGATCAAAAAGCCTAGGTCAGGGTCGGGTCTTGACATACGGAATGAATGTGCAATGATATTACATTGAATTAAAC